TCATTGAGGTGATATTATCGTTGAGGTGATAGGCCCGTGCGGAGCACGGGCAATTTCATTGAAATTCTGCTACAGCAGCCGTTGGGCCCGAGTACTTTAGTCAGGCGCGAGAAGCGTTTTCCGTAATTGATTGTATCCATGGCCAAAGTACTTGTGCATGAAGATAATCCAAGAGCTCAATAGCGGCGATGAATGGCGTATATTTTTGTGAATGTGCATGTGCTTGTGGACCACATTACCTCATTGCTCAAAATTGCTGAACGTATGACAACAAAGAATGAATGATGATTGGAAGTTGCCAATCATCATTGAGCTGAATTGGCGGCTGTCGGAATGTGGAGAGGCGGGGAAACAGAGGGGCTATACCCTATCGGACGGTAGTCTACTGAGCCACAAGTCTTTCCAAGATCTGTGGTAGCTCTTAGAAATTGTTCGCAGCGAGAACATGCCGCAGTTTCTCTCATCGCTATACATAGAATGAATGCTGAGACGAGCACATTGAGGCCATCGCCTGATGTGCAACAGCAGTCCGCTGGGACGGATCGTCCGGCAAAACGGCAACGACTCTCGCTGGCGTGCAACGAGTGTCGGAAAAGAAAGGTGAAATGCGACTCAGTCACGCCAAAATGCAAGAACTGCCATTTTCGGGGGATCGCATGCGAAACGACTGATCCAAAACACCCAGAGCTTACTGTTGTGCGCAAATACGGCGGCCACTATCCCTTGGAAATGGATCAGCCTCGACAGGACTCACAGAGGACAGGCTCGACAGTCACAGCCTTGCCCACTCCGACAAGGGAAATAGCGGGTTTCCCAAGCCCAGCAGAGACAAGTCCGGCGCCCATGTCTGAAATGGCACAGAGCTACTCTTCTATAATGAAGGCGAATGAGACCAATTCCTGGCTGGTACGGTCCTATAGAGCTCAGAGAGCCCTGGAGTCTACAGCTCCAGCCACAACAATTCCGGATCAACAAGGAGAAGTCAGCATGACCACAGACGGCAACAGTCAGCATGATCAGACGATCATGGGATCAGGAGAGAGTGATGGCCCAGAAATGGCCATTAATACAGATAATGGATCATGGCGCCAGAAGTTCATGGGCGGAAGCAGTCTCCAAAGTCTCACTATGTTTCTGGACTTGTATATGCAGAGAGCAGGTTTGCCCAAGATCGGACCCTGTTTCATGCATGGAATGAGTTTTGCAGAAGAATTCGTGCCCTCCCTGAGTTTACGACTGCCTGACCTTCCGCCAGCATCACTGACTGATGCGTACTTGAAAGCGTACACCACGAATATCCACCCCATGTTCCCTATTCTGGAACCGGATCAGCTGCACAGAGATATCCAGCGGATTCGGGCATATCAAGATGCGAACTGGAGCCCCTCTTATGGTTTTAGAGGACTCCATGCCTTACTGGAAGCACACGATGTTCCTGTACTTGCCTGTATCTATGGAGCGATAAGCTTAGGGGCGGATGAGGCAGCCGGCGATCTGACGGAAACGGGAAACGACTTTCTTGCTGCCGCCCATGGGTTATACGCACATCTCATTGGACTTCCACATCTGAGTAGCGTTCAAGCATTACTATTAATCACATTAGCGTTGCGAGCAAGAGGCAAGGAGGGCCAGGGGTTTCAGACACTAGGCTCGGCAGTGCGCATCTCACACAGCATCGGATTGCACCGACATGTCGCGGTAGCTGAGCGAAGTCAAAACCACGAAGAATTCCAGTCTAGACGGCAAAAAATTGAGCTCCATGCCAGAGTGTGGTGGACCTGCTTTGGTCTTGAAAAGCTTATGGAACTCGAGACTACCCGTCCTTCGGCTATGTCACATGCGCAACATGACAATTTTGCACCAGATGAAATCTTCGCACCTAACTCACAGAACCAACTCGAGTACTTCCTCCACTGGATACTGCTTGCCCAAATCTGTGAAAAAATCAATGAACTTTTATATCAGCGGAACAGGAGCCAAGCCAGCACACTACAACTGCTTCAAAGTATCGGTAGAATTGATTCTGCTCTTCGAGAATGGAAGAGCAATCTTCCCGATGATATCCAACCGGATGGGGATATCTACTGTTCTGATGAAGAACGTCCACTTGCTATATCTCTGGCTCTCCAATACCATTCAACACTTATCACGCTGCACCGAGCATCTCTGGTGTTACCTCACAACCAGTTCATGGAGGAAATCAAGACAAATTCTCAGCACCTGCCATATCATCAGCGTCTCCGAAAGGGCCGCAATCTTTGTACTGCATCGGCATGTGCTACTATTAGGATGAACGCTCATATGCCTGACAAAAGGATACAAACACCTTCCTGCGCCCTCACACAGACGCTTACAGGATGTGTTGTATTGTCGTTAAGTATCTTACGGCATCCACAATCTCGCACAGTCCGCACTGATCTCGAGCTGCTTCGCATGGGTACAGAGATGGCAGAAGCTGAGTATAAGCGGCTCGGCCAACACCCGAAGTTTTTCGAAGCTTGCTCAATTATCGAAAAGTCTATTACTGACTATGTGGTTCAATGTAACTCCAGAGTAAGTTTACGAGAAGGCTCACAGGCACCACGATTACAGTCACAATCTCTAGTGAGACAGACAGACTCTAATGAAACGACGATGATGCCGCCTCTGATATGGGACACTGTGGTGGAGTCAGATAACCAGGATAATTTTCAATTTGATGCAGCCGATCTCTGTGCAGGAGTGATACTTGAGGATCTCTAGAGTGCCACCGCCGATATAGATCTATATATGGGAGGGTAGCTTGGCATACGATGGGCCCAATCATGGATCTCTACGATATCAAGATATAATCACGTTTTACCTTTGTGTACTTTGATGCCTGCCTGTGTTTTAGTTATCATCAAGACTTAGCGAATATTGCTTTTTGCAACCTTGTTACACGGGGTTGGGATCTATACTTCTCTTGCCGGGTCCCACACTAAGGCCGGTGAGCTTTACGCTAGTGTTCCGTGAAAGTTGTCTGGCG